TGAGGTGTTGGATGTGTCTGTGACATTGGGATTTGCGATTGAGGCTGCAACGTGTCGAAGTCATTCCAAGCGGGTGGTGCAGTGCAAGCTTGGCGGAAGACGAACATGATTGAACATGTCATATCGTCACTTTGTGGCATGAGCTTTGTGTTTGCTTCGCAGGCTTCAAGCGCGACATTTCCAGGAAGTCTTTTACAAAGTGCTCGTTTTGCAGACTTCACGTGTGAGTTTTGGAGGATGTCTCGCACAAAATTTGGAGACTTGACATGTATGTGTGTGTGTGTGCGTCACACTCCGTTTCTAGGAGTCTCGTTTTGATGCAGGGGGGCAGAGAGGACTTGCAAGGCTCTGCTCAACGAAGCTCCTTGCAAGATCCTAGGAAGCGGAAGCTGATCACTTCGGTGTACCTGCTCGTGACACTACACCATTTTTCTCGCTGTCTTTTGTTTCCGTGGTCCTTGCATGATGGACCCCTAAACCTTCCTTTTCTCCACCGCTGATTTCCAGCCGCGTTGCCGTTCAATCATTCTGTTTCCGCGGACTCAGCCACTATTCCATTGCACATTCATTTCCTCGTGGATTATGACACTGGATAAACCTTTACCATGCTTTATCTAAGTGTGACTCGCTGTGCTTTCCCACCTGGGTGCGCAGTGTGATCCTCTCGCCAGAGAGGCGCTGAAGCCATCGTGTATCACAAATCGAATTTGCCACCCGCATTCGTGGATTTTGGTTCCATGAACTGTGTTTCACCCATGAAACACCTGACCCCCAAGCGGCCGCACCAACGGTTACTCATGCTGCCGAGCTCACGGTTTACACGCGCATGTACATACACCTCTTCTCCCCCCCTCCCCCTGCTTTCTCTCTTGTGCTTTTTCCGTTTTCTAGGTGTTCTTTCAGGCTCGTTAGGTGGTTCTTGAGGCTCGTTTCCCTGCCCCTCGGTTTTTTGGTTCTTTCTCTCTTGCCTGGTCCTTTCTCTTTCTAGGCCTGCCTTTTCGCTAAAGGCTTTCTAGGTGTGTAATGAGGTCTTTTTCCTTTCAGTCAAGGACAGTCAAGGACTAAGTAGTCAAGCGCTAAGTAGTCACCCTTTTTCGCTACTCCTATCTTTCTCTCTTGCCTTTTTCGTTTCCCACTTTCTGTCTTTTCTCTCTTTTCCAAGGCTCGTTAGGTGGCTAATCAAATTTGACCCCGTAATTTGCCGCTCGTGCGGCAGACATGCAGGCCCCTACACCTATTTTCTTCTCTTGTCCTCTTCGGTTTTCCTTTTTCTTGTTCATTCTTTTTCTTTTCTAAGGGTTGTTAGGTGACTATTGTCAAAGGGGCACCCTGCAGCGGAGCCTCCTGTGTGTGCCACACTCCGTTTCTAGGAGTTTTGTTTTGATGCAGGGGGGCAGAGAGGACTTGCAAGGCTCTGCCCAACGAAGAAGCGGAAGCTGATCAGATCCGTGTACCTGCTCGTGACACTACCCCACTTTTCTCGCTGTGGACTCATATGACACTGGATATACCTTATCTAAGCGTTGTGAATTTTGGAGGAAGTCTCGTACGAAACGCTCGTTTTGGAGACTTTGACGCGTGACTTTTTGGATCACGATGAGGGCGTCTATAGTCTAGTACGAAAAGCTCGCTTTGCAGACTTGACGCGGGACGCTTGACTTTACGAGGAAGTCTTGTACGCAACGCTCTTTTTGCAGACTTGACGAGTAAGCTTCGCACAAAACCCTCGCTTTGGAGACTTGACGCGTGAAATTTGGAGGAAGTCTCGTGCGCAAGGCTCGGTTTGGAGACTTGACGTGTGACTTGGAGGAAGTCTTGTGCGAAAGGTTGGTTTTGAGACTTGACCCATGACTTTTCATTTCAATCAAGAGTGGCTCACAAGAGTGCCCTATAAGAGTGTCCCACAGGAGTGCCCCACCACCACCACCACCAGAGCGTCGTACCTGAGAGTCCTACAAGAGTGTCCCGCAAGGGTGTGTCCGACAAGGGTGTCCCACAAGAGTGCCCCACCTGAGTGTCGCACGCGAATGTCCCACAAGAGTTTTCCACAACACTGCCCGACAAGCGTGTCCCACGAGAGTGCCCCACAAGAGTGTCCAACAAGAGTGTCCTACAGGAGTGCCCAGCGAGAGTGTCCCACAAGAGTGTCCTACAAGAGTGTCCCACAAGAGTGCCCGACAAGAGCGTCCTACAGTGTCCCACACAAAAGTGTCCCACCAGAGTGTCGTATGTGACCTCAGAACTGGACACTTCCAAGCTAGTACAAATGCAGTGCGGGAAGCGGTTTCTGGCAGCCGGCCTCAGAACTAAGAACTGGCAACTTGTAGTATACAAACGCAGTACGGGAAGCAGTTTCTCGGAGCTGTGGCCTCAGAACTGGCAGCTAGTTGTAGTGCGAGATGTGGCAAAAATACATTTGAGTACGTGCGTGTCGCACGTGAGTGTCCCACGAAATTGTTGTCCTACAAGAGTGTCCCGCAAGAGTGTCCCACAAAAAAGTGTCTCCTACAAGAGTGTCAAACAATGTTTGGCTGTTTGTCTTCGAGTGCGTGTGTGCCTTCGGGTTAGCGGGCTCCATTTTGATGAGCTCTTGATGGAGGAAGTTAAATGAGCACAGTCTTTAAAGCACTGATTGAAGACGCTGTTGATGCCTCTGTGATAGTTTAAAGAAAAATCATTTGGGGCATGTGTCATCACCACTTTGATGCAGGCTTGCTTTCAACAAAGCCCCTTCCTAAACCTTCCAAGAGTTCCTCAGATTGTTTCATGTTTTCGTTTGTTCTATTTGTTTTCCCTTGTGTTTCAGTTCCTTAGATTTTTCCAGCCTTCCTGTTTCCCTTTGTCGTTTTTCCTGTTTTTTTGTGTCAAGGGTATATTCCAGATCTTCTCTTGGCCAAGGCAGTGAGATGTCTTTTTGCGGATACTGAACCAAGGTCCTTCCAGAGCTGTCTGGGGCGCTCGACCCTTGAGATCCAAGAACTTTCGAACCTAACAGGGAGATGCCACTCCTAAGAGGATGTGCAAAAGCATTCAATACCCTTCCTGCATGACAGGTAGTGCAAACCTGTTACTGTACAGCCAATGATGTACTTGAGGTGGGCCTGGCCGGAAATGTCAAGAAGAGGACACAGGCTGCAAGGCTGGTGTTTTTTCTGCAGCTGAATGCCTTCTGCGTGTTTGTTGTTTCTCGACCAGGGTCTACGTACCAAGCTGTTGATAAAGTCAGTAGCATGTCAGCGTAGCCTTCTGAGATATTGCATGGCCATTTGTGAAGCCACTTGAAGACACTCTGCCATTGGACAAAGTAAAAAATGTGAGGTGGTTTGAGTCTTCAAACATCATCGACGGATATTTATGCGCAAGGCTAGCTTTGTGCTTGGCCTTGGCCTCGACCTCAAAGTGTACCAAGGCCTTCACCAAGTCTGACTCTGAGACTTCCAAGCCCCTTTCTGTCAGAAGACTGCAAGCAGGCTAAGTAGATGCAAACTAAGTCTTGTTTTCCCACATTGAATTGTTTAGGATGTCGCAGGACAGAAGATACAACTCTTTTCTGTTTAATTGCGGACGACTACAGTACTGTATGGCACTGCATGGTAGGTCCGGCCTCGCTTTCATGCGGAGCAGCCAAGCATGGCTAAGTTGATGTGATTCGAGGCACAAAGGCTTTCAGGAGCTGTGCGAGATGGTGGGCGTCGAGCTACAGGCGAACCCTGCGAGTCCTTGGACAATAGGGCTGGAGTTTTGGTGTGTGTTTGTGAGGCCACTTAAAGGTTCTGGTTGATCACACCTATAGACAGGTCTTGCTTGAAACATACATTTCAAGAATGTTATGTTGGGAATGGGAAGCAAAAAGTTTCCAGGGTTGTATGGTCGTGATCCACACACTTGATGACCAGCGGGCCCCTATCCAATGCGCTGTTTGATCCACAGCTGTGCAGTTCTGCTGAAAAGGGGACAGATTTGCACCGGATGACAATCAAAACGTCAGTGTTTCCGAAGCGATGTCAGCAGGCAGAAAAAACGGTCTATGAGTATGTCGAGAAGGCTGTCAAAGCTGCAGGGCTTCTGAATTACTGTTATGCATGACTCACACAGAGCGCAGGCAATATGAAGCGCTGCACCTGCGCATAACACTGATCCTAGTACCATGCACCATCAGTTGCAGTTGCGTTTGCTTGCCATTTCACATCAATCGCAAACGAACACAACGACATGGAGAGGAAACACAGGTTTGAGAGAGATTGCGCACCATCACCATCACAACCACCTCCATCACCACCACCCAGACCATCACCACCACCATCATCATCACCAACATCAACATCACCACCACCATCATCACCACTATGTGTACAGAGTATGTTTCGTTTGCAAGACCATTGTGAACAATAGTGATGTGAAAGGCATCAAGAAGGAGGCATGACACGGATGATCCTCCAATGTGTGCTGCAGATGATCCCTCCCAATTTTAAATATGTTTTGGACTATTCCCAGTTCTTGCTTAAAAGTAAAGGCAGAGTGCCGCAGATGATCCCACATGCGTGCGGCACATGATCCCCTTCCCCAACCATGCACATCCACCCAGAGTTCAACGAGAACATACACATTTGGGAAATGCAAAATACGGTATGTGAAACAGCAAAGTTTGACGGAAATACGCAGCACCCCCCCATTTTCAAACCGCAGCAAACCACAATGCGTTGCTTTGGGTTACTGAAAGTTGCAAACGAATGCAGCAACTGAAGTCGTACTTTGTAACAACTGTAACAACCAACCTGCGCGCAAACAAATATTATTGTGAAACCAGCATGACGGACGGCTGTGTAGCTTGACACCAATCCACCGTGGAACCTCTTGGCCCAACCCTAGGGGCCGTAGCTGTATCCGACCTGACAGGTCTTTTTACCACCCATGGCCTAGGGAAAAGATTGGGCGCCTGGCGGCTTCAGTGGTAGCGCGGAGCTCCTTGGTCCTATCCAGGAGCCTGTGGGAGAGACTTGATGGGGGACGTGGAGCAGGGCTTCTCGAGGGCAGCCGGGGGCTACGCTTCGACGAGTGGAGCGATGGGAACGAGAGGAGAGACAGGTAGAGATAGGGATCCCCCGCCAGGGTACGACGGGTTAGATCCAGAGACCACCTTTCGTCAGTACGAGAAGCAGGTGGCCTTGTGGGAGTACGAGACGGAGGTGGTTCGGGCGAAAAGAGGTGTGAAGCTCATTCGGCATCTCTCAGGTGTAGCTTTGACAGCTGTGGACCACCTCGAGATCGAGCAGATCACCGGTGAGGAAGGAGTCAAGAACATCTTGACTGCTTTGAGGGAGTTCTTCAACCCACACCTGGAAGTCTCCCTTCCCCGTGCCTTCGAGGCCGCAGTTTATGGTGCACCAAGATCCACGAAGGAGACCTTTGGCGAGTTCACCAAGCGAATGGAGAGGGCATTCGTGAACCTGGCCAAGGAAGGAGTTGACCTACCAGACGGTGCACGCGGGTACATCATGTACCAGCAAGCCTCCCTGTCCGAGTCTCAGGAACAGCAGCTGTTGACATGGGCGCAAGGCTGCTACAATCGAAAAGAGATCACGATCGCACTCCGCAGGTTGGACAAAGTCATTCGGGACAAAGGCAAGACTGGCTTCATGACTGAAGAGGGCTATGAGGCTGAGATCCACATGGGTGAGGCCTACTTGAATGAAGATTCCGGCTACCCGGATGACGACGATGAGAACTTTGTGTACATGTTACATCGCCGACAGCGACTTGGATGAAGTCATGGATGAACAGGAGGACGTACAGGCCTTGGCCTCGTATCAGGAGACACGTCAGGCATTGAAAGAACAGAGGCTCAACCGGGGCTACTACCCGGGCAAGGGATGGCAAGGGCAAAGGAAAGCTCAACCCGTTCCAGAAGGGCAAGGACAAGGGGGCGCAAGGTGCACATCGAGCAGCTGAAGCTTAGGTCTCGGTGCAAAAGGTGCCAACAAATCGGACACCGGGCTCGAGAGTGCACCAATGCACCAGCTCCCACGAACGGGGACGGCCGAGCTTTCTTTGTTGGCTTGGCTCCAGAAAGCCAGGGCTCGCGCAGCGAATCCAACTTTTGGCTGCGTCAGTTTTTGCAAGACCAAAAGGGTCAGAGTTCTTCGAGCACGCCAGACGGCAAGGCAGATGCCGGCATACATGGAGCGCCCAGCGTTCTGCGGGATCACCACCAAACCAGTTGAGGGGGTTGTTGACACGGCAGCTGAAGGGGGTTTGATTGGTTCGGTTCCGTTGGATGCACTTCAATCGGAACTACATGCACGAGGGCTTCAACTACAGTGGACACCCAAAAGATCACAAGCAAAAGGAGTAGGCGGCAATGCGAATGTTTTGGGAGTGGCCATGATTCCTATTGGTTTAGGGGGCATCAATGGAGTCCTGGAAACCACCGTGGTTGAGGGAGACGTGCCGTTCCTTCTTCCCATTCGAATGCTTCGTGCTCTCGAATCGTTGATCGACTTGAAACGTTGTACATTGACTTTGCAAGCACATGGTCACATGGAAGAGTTGTTGATTTGAACGTTTTACCAAGTGGCCACATCACAGTGAACATTTTCTCATTTGGCAGCGGCGAGTTCGTCACACCCGAAGAGATCGGCATGTCCACTTGTTTTGAAATGAAGCCTCAATGTTTCATCTCAGCTATGCATGAGTACTCAAGGAGAGTGCAGCTCGAAATTCGCTCACGAGCCAAGCCCCGCATCTATCCCACAGCCGCACCATGGCGGGCATCCTTCAGATGGCATAAGGGCTGGTGGGAAAGCGTCCAACGGTGGATCCTACACCAATGGACACGGAAGCTCGTGTGATCAACCCAAAGATTCCGCTTCGGAATTGGCGGGTCGTCTTGGACAAGATCGCCACCATTTTGGTGCTTGGAGCTGGGTTCCTCGCCGCAGGGGTCCAAGTCAGCGGACAGCGTCGAGGACTACTACGCCGAGGTGATCATGAATGGCGCCCCATTGAAGCCACTCAAGTCGAAGAGCGCACCTACTGTCTCGGCGAGTTCATGCATCCACCCGAAGGGACAGCTTCGTGGGGGAGGCAATGGGACCTCCTCGTACGTGGTGTGCCGAGCGTGCCATTCCAGGTGGGCCCTAGAAGGAAGAGCGGCAGACATCCGGAAGCAGCTTCATGAAGCAAGGCCCCTTGAGCATGAAGATGGAGAGTCCGCCCCAAGTTCGAGGCTCTGCAAGTTCCGCCCCAATGACTCCTGTGAGGAATGGAGGACCCATCATGGATCGAGTGCCTCCAATGCCAAACACCCCGATGAGAACTCAGGGAGCCATCCAGGAGGGCTGGCCATCACCAGCGGTCTCCGAGCAAAGCTTGCACGAGATGAAGGAGAGCCTCCGGCAAGAAATGGATATGAACAACCAGATCATCCTGCAGCAGCTCAAGAACGAGCAGGCGGCCTCCATGATCAGATCTCGCAGGCGAGCTACACCCAGGTCAACCACCTGGTGGAGGAGATGAGGAAGACCGCCAATGCCAGCCGAGAACAAGAACTCCGGCCAGAGAAGCTGCTGCAGATGCTGGTCCAATTGCAGCAGGAACAACACCCAGGAGCCGGGTCACAGCATTCACCTCCACGGCCACCGCAATGTCCGGCTTCTTGCCCTCGCTGGTCGCATCCATCTCGTTCTCCCACTCGAAGTAGTCGCAATGCCTCAGCACGCACTTCCAGAATTTCCTTCCCTTGCGAGGGTTGTCCTCCTTCTTCACCACCAACATCTCCGCCGGTTTCTGGCGTTTGCGCAACATCATCTTTGACGGCGAACCTGGTGGCATCCTAGGACCTGGAGGTGCAGACAGTGGCTTCCTCACTGAATCCAAGGAGGTCCAAAAGCCCCGAGGTCGGAGGGACTGGTCCCTGTTGGAGTGAACACGCTGGTTCCCTCGACACACTGGTCCAGGGTCTCGCAAACTCGCAAATGTCGCCGAAGACGACAGATTGAGTGGTGGTCATCGACGACCTCCTCTAGATCCGGCATGGCGCCTTTGTGAAGGAAAGAGACCGACCAGGTGGGCAAGGAAGGCTCAGAGAGGGCAGAATCCCTACTTCGTGGTGGACAAGGAGTACTACATGTGGGACCATGGCGAGTGGAAGAAGAAAAGTGTGGAAATTGAAGAAGATCACTTCAACGACCGGAGACTGAGCAGGGCCAACAAGAAGAAGCTGGCCAAGGCTATGAGAGAAAGGAGGGATGCAGTGCAGATTGGGGAAGTCTATGGTCCTGGACGCATGAAGGAGGCAGCAAGTGAATGGAAGTTGTCCATGTCCACGTGCTATGACCTCCTCACTGGATGGGACCTGGCACAAGAAGATCACAGAAAAGCTATGTGGCAAGCTTTGAGAGAAGAGAAGCCCGACTTCCTGATCATCAGCCCACCGTGCACTGCCTTCAGCCAGCTGCAAGCGGTCAACTGGGGCCGGATGATGCCACAAAGAAGAGTGGCACTCCTGAAAGCTGGGCTGGAACATCTCCAGCTAGCAGCTGCGGCGGTGAAGTGGCAACTCAACCGTGGAGGCCATATCCTGTTTGAACAACCAGCTGGCGCCAGCTCGTGGAAAGAACCATGCATCCAGGCAGTAGCACAGAGGCCAGAGGTCTACACCATTGTGAACCATCAGTGCCAATTTGGGCTGAACGTCGATGGTCTCGGGCCCAACAAGAAGCCAACCCGCTGGATGTCCAGCTCACATAAAGGTTCTGTCACGGCTCAACCGCCGATGCGCCGGGGAACACACGCACACACCCTCCAGAACGGCATGCCTGCCAAAGCAGCCATTTATCCACCACAACTGTGCCACGCCATTGCTCAGGGCATCGCTGAACAGACGCAGGCTCAGGAGCGCTATGCCGCGGACGCTGAGGAAGAAGAAGATGAGGAGGTAGAAGGACCTCCAATAGAAGAACAGGAAGACCACGGCGCAGTGACAGAAGTGGAAAAGAAGGCACTCACGAAGGTGCACAAGGCCGTTGGTCATCCGCAGAACCAGGAGTTTGTAAGGTTTCTGCGGGCAGCTCGAGTTCGCGGAGATCTCATCCGCTGGGTTGCTCAGGAGTTCAAACGCGACGTATGCCAAGCAAATCAGCAACCAAAAGTTCCTTGGCCTACAGCGCTGCTGGGGGTGGATCTTTTCTATATCCCCGGACCAGGCGGAGGAAACACAAGCCGATCCTGAACATGGTGGACTGGGGCACGAATTACCAAATGTGCGAGATGCTGCCGGGAAAGAATCCAAATGAAGTCTGGGCCGCGTACAGGAGCACATGGGCAAGAACGTTCGGGCACCCAGAAGTGATTATCTGCGACATGGGCAGGGAATTCATGGGTGAGTTCATCTCCAAGGCAGCTTCCGAAGGCATAGTGGTTCACCAGATAGCCAGCAAAGCTCTGTGGCAACAAGGAAAGACAGAAAGGCATGGTGGCCACATGAAGGAGATGATCAACAAGGCCCGAAGTGAAATGGTGATCCAAACGGACGAAGATTTGAAGCTCATGCTCTCAGAAGTCGAGCAGATGAAGAACCGGTATTCCAACCGGAGTGGATTTGCACCAGTGCAAAGGCAGGTCGGACAGTGGCCAAGACTGCCCACGGAGCTCACGTCAGACAATGCGGTGGACCCTACGCTGCTGGACGGGGTGCTGACCGACGACATTGAAAAGCTGCATGAAGTCCGAAGGATCGCTCGCAAAGCCTTCTGCGAATACAATGCGGACTCCACGATCAAACGGGCACTCCGCTCACGCCCTCGAGTGTCGTGAGAACTCAAGGCCGGAGAGTACGTGTATGTCTTCCGAGCCCCAAAGGCCCGAAAGAGCAGGCATGGAATGCCCGATGACCATGCAGCATGGCACCAAGGCAAGATGGGTCGGCCCAGGAGTGGTAATCGCCCCAGATGGAGCCAATCTATGGGCGTCAATGATGGGAGAACTATGGAAGGTGTCCAGAGAACAATGCAGACATGCCACCAACGACGAGCGCATGGGCATCGAGGCGGTGATCACCGAGCGCCAAGATCTGATCGAACAGTTCCAAAGAAATCCAGATCGCGCAGCCTACAAGGACATCACGGAAGAAGGAAGCCCCGAAGAAGAAAGGGCCGAAGAAGAAGAACCTCCCTTGCGGAGAGGAGTTCGATTCGAGCCTCAAGCAGAAGAGTATGAGCCGACGGAGTACGAACCGCCGGAAGCTGAAGTCCAGGAAAGACAAGAAAGAGGCGAAGGTCCATCACAGAACCCGAGCAGGAGGCCCATCCGGAGAATCAATCCGGTGGAGAAACACCTGCCGAGGGATGGGCAAACCCAGTTGGAGGGGCGGACAAAAGAACTGCGATCGAGATCCAGATCATCCGGCAAGACCTCCGCACCATTGCCGGTGAGGTGAAGTGGGTGGACCACAAGTCCACGCTAGCAGACGGCTTGACGAAGGTGGGCGGCTCGAACGAGGCACTTCGCGAAGTGCTCCGGAAGGGAGTTTTTAGCATCCGCTCCACAGAGGAGCAGATGTCGCTCCGTGAGAGCGCAAGGCAGTCAGGGAAGACAAACTCTGACTTGTGTGGGATTGGTGTCAAAAACATTTTGGGGGATTGTGAAACCAGCATGACGGACGGCTGTGTAGCTTGACACCAATCCACCGTCCGTGGAACCTCTTGGCCCAACCCTAGGGGCCGTAGCTGTATCCGACCTGACAGGTCTTTTTACCATCCATGGCCTAGGGAAAAGATTGGGCGCCTGGCGGCTTCAGCGCTTTGACAATTATATAGGTTGTGATTTTGGTACTTTTGAAACCTTAATAAGAAATACAATTATCCCGGCAAGAGACCCCAAACAGTGTGTGTGTGAGGTCTTGAGGTGTAGTAGCAGAAAGTCTACAGATCTAGACGCATTGGGGTCCAGCAAGGTGATGGTGATGATGAAGGTGGAGATCGTGGTGATGGTGGCGGTGGTGGTGGGTGAGAGTGAGAGTGAGAGTGAAAGTGAGAGTGAGAGTGAGAGTGAGAGTGAGAGTGAGAGTGAGAGTGAGTGGGTGAGTGAGTGAGTGAGTGGGTGTGAGTGAGAGTGAGTGTGAGTGAGAATGAGTGTGAGTGTGTGTGAGAGCGCGCCACGAAATCTACGACATTTGCACTTCGAGGTTCCTAAAGTGCTGTACCTGCCACGAAATCTGCACTTCAAGGCTTCATGTTTGACAAAGTGCTGCGCGCGCCACGAAAGCTGCACTTCGAGGTTCACAAGGCGCCGTGCCTGCTACGAAATCTGCACTTCGAGGTTTTCACAAGGCGCTGTGTCTGGCACGAAATCTGCGCATCGAGGTTTTCACAAAGTCCTGCGCCTGCCACGAAATCTGCACTTCGAGGTTCGCCAAGTGTTGCACCTGCTACGAAATCTTCACTTCGAGGTTCACAAAGTGCTGCGCGCGCGCACGAAATCTGCACTTCAAGGTCCGCAAAGTACTGCGCCTGCCACGAAAGCTGCAAACGAGCCACGTGTCCAAAAGTCGCGATTCACTGCACCCGTCACGAAATCAGAGCGCGTCGAAGATCACCGCCATGTCCTGCGCCTACCACGAAATCTGCATTTCGAAGTTAAGCCGCTCCGATCCCTTGCGCCAGTCACGAAAAGTGACCACCATGTGGGAACATGCGCAACGAGAACGCGGTCGCGAGAAGCGCCCGCTCCAGCCACCCAGATTTCGCGAGCCAGTCGAAATGCACGTCGACGACTTCGAGAGGCACGAACGCACCGTAAATAGCAGCGAATTAGCCGGACACGCCCGCGCAGAACCCCTAGCGTGTCCACACTGCTTGGGGAAATGCAACTACGGGTCATGTATACTGTATATTAATACGTTTTCCCGACCGCCCGTCTCAAAAGCGTGCGCAGCCCAGTTCGCAGCACCGGCGCCATCGAAAGCACGCGCAGCCAACTCATTTCTACTTAAAGTATCTAAAGTAAGAATCCCATAGCTATGGCTATCCGGAGAAGAAACATATCACATATTGTAACATTATATCGCTGTTCTTGTTCCCCACCTGCCAGGTGAGGGTTGTTAGATTTTACGTTAGCTGACTTCTCCTCCTCCTCCTTCTTCTTCTCCTCCTCGCCGGACCTCAACCACGACCATCCACGCCCAGTGTTCCCTGCCGGACCTCAACCACGACCATCCACGCCCAGTGTTCCCTGCCGGACCTCAACCACGACCATCCGCGCCCAGTGTTCCCCGCCGGAC